TCGACTCTTCCAGAAGACCATTATGGATGCCTGAAACTTGTTTGTCTCGAGTCCAACCTAAACCCTTTAGAGTCGTCCTACTTTCATTGCCCGGTATCATAACCGAACATACTTTTCGATAGCGATACTAGCACAGTTGGGCAGCCTGAATCCCGAAAAGAGTTCAAGGTACTGGTACATAATGTGGACCATGAACAATAATGCGTATGAAGACTAAGGAGACGGAATTGTCTCGAACCGACAGTTTAACGAGCAAACCAACAAAATACAGGGCAGTCAAGGGAAATAACCAAGAGCAACTGTTTTTTTGATGAATTATCTTATATATCATTGTTTAGCTGCATTTTCTTTCGTATAAAAGTGCCTTATGAAGCGAGTCGTTTTTCGATATGACGAGAAAGAATAAAACTACTAGTCATAGTCACTAGGCTTCCAGACTAACAGTCGATCTTGAAAAAGAGCTGAATACAACTTTGCATAAGGTGATGAAGAACTGATTAGCATTTTCCCACAATGATATGGGTAGGCCTAGGGATGCCATTAAATTTCACCTATCTTTATCTCCTGATAGGCATTCTCATATAGGCTGGATTGCAATTTCTATCTTGTTTCGTCTCATCAACACCCCCCCCGGGAATCAAACTCAGGCCACATATCGAACATAAACGCCTAACTTAATTTTATTCTTCCTTCAATAAAAATATATGTTGGTAGATATAAGGTGATTTTCATGTCAAGCCATCTATATGCACGTTTATATGCTTAGGTGTTTGTAAACGCGGGCGCATATGCATGTGACTCTGTTTGTGTGTGTGTGTGTGTGTGTATGGGTACAAAATTGGTAGTGGTACTTCCAAGTGATCTGAAAAGAGCATAACGTCTGACTCGCAAAAACGCATCTTCACAATTGCGTAAAACTGAATTAGTTGATAGAATACCTGCATGAACTCATGTATGGAGAAAGTGTGTAAGAATCGTTGGAACTGAAACCTAAGAAAGGTGTCGAATGTCAAAGCAAAATCAAATCCTAGTGAGACCGATTATAGAATCTCTCCAGAACACCCTTTAATACAAATTAAAAGACAGCAAAACACTTAATGAATAGGATAAACTATGAGAAGGCAAAAGCAAGCCTACGAAGGAGAGTGAGAAAGTGAGAGAATTAAATTGTAAACAGTGGCTTATCCAAGCTGGTCCAACAGATTTGATCTCCAATCTCTGAAGGAGCCCCAACGTTGTTTAAAGGAGAATCAGCATCGGCAGAATCACCCATTGTAAGGCACTTATTCACTTGACGTATGAAATTGTCGGGGACGAAAAATACGGTGTCACAACTAAAGCAGCTGCTATCCAAGCGATAGTTATAGTAACCACAGCGCATTGATGGTAGGGTTTATCTTTATCATTCAATTCTCATCCACACCAGCAGATATCACTTCGCATTTATCTCATCATCCTTCAGCTTTGATTTAGGCTAGGAGTGCTGATGAAGCCTGGATTGGACTAACTTTCCAACAAGACTGGACAAGAACTCGTTTTCTAAAGAAAGTTAAAATGAAATTCACCACCAATATCAGGCATCATTTTCATATTAGCCTGTTGTAGACATGAGTACCTATAGAGGAATAAAACGGCCTTGGGGAAAATTTCATATAAACTTTTAAAAGCATCAACTTTTTCCTGTGTGGAGAAGAATATTCACAGTCGGGCGTTGCTGGGAATTTTACTATATGCCAAGATGACGTCAAAACATGGCAAAATCTTTGTGAACACCCTAGTGCCCAATACAATGTTGGGCCTAAAAGCTGATCTACAAAGCGAATGCCTTTATTTTCTCGTTTAGAAGTGGGTATGAAGGCTACAAGTCTCATATATATGGATACCGGTAGTTTGGCCGCGGACGTTGTTTCTTGTGTAGAGCTGGTATGAATTCGTATTACCAGAACGACTTTAAAGAACACAGGAATGTAGCCAGTAAACGGTTCGGTACCGGAAGAAGACATGATGAGTTCTGATGCTCTGCAGTCGTTTGACGTCCAGATTGACGCCGTCCACGAGACGTTCTTTTTCGGTTAAGGTGGAAACGAGCTGAGCTTTTGTTTTCGTCTGTTGCTTTTGTGAGTATTCTTGACATTTGATAAAGATTTGCTTAGTATTATTGTCTTAATTTTTGACTGAAGCTTAAGTATGAAATCCTGATCTGCAGACGTCTCTCAAATAGCATGACACATATTAAGGTTGATTAAGCTTGGAAACTATCACCAGATATTGATTAAGAGATTTAATCTCCTTAAGCCGCATAGAGTGAAGGATTTATGGTTGAATTTTCCCTTAATACTTAATATAAGTAGGCCTCAGGCTGCTATTGAAGTTCATATAGCCTTGCTTCCCAAAAAGCATTATCATTCAATCTGGACTGCTGGTTCGACCTCGATTGGGTCTCATCAGCATTGCCCAACGGGAAGTACATCTTATACTTCCGACATGTTACCACTATACCGCCACGGGTGCAATTCGATTACAGGGCAGATGCGCATTTCAGGGCTAGTCAAGCCTGCCCTATATCACCTTATTGTAAAGTGCTATTGTTTATGAGACACATTAACACTTTCTATTCTAATTTATGACTCTACTTATATTCATATTGAGTAGTTTTGGGAATTATTAAGGTGAATAAAGATGCTATCCAAAATAACCGGCAGTTTCGAAACCTATTCAATCTAGATGTATGAAATGTACTCCTAAGTATAGTAAGGCTCATTGATGATGCCGACCATACTACCAATTACGATGCCGGCGAAACGCTTAGGAAGGTAGTACATCAACAATTCGACACTGGTAGCTAGCATGACTGCTATGGTAAGGTGCATTGACCGAGGTCTTTCTGACAACGCGACCGATTTGGAGAAGCGGAGTTAAACTACCTATATACATCGATAGAAGACTGCTACCAAAATAGAAGCCACGGCATCTCAGTATTCATAACTTTGAGTCCCAGCATAAATTTGATGTAGGGAGTGTCAAATCTATGCGAGGAAAAGTTGGGTTTCGAGGAATCTCTTGTCTCATTATTGTTGAGCTTACTTCCACTTCGAGTGAAATTGTTGGGTAAACGCATCTTTCGGGCCTACCTTCACTTCCACTGCCTGATATAAACAAAGCGATGGATGGATAGATAGATAGACATAAAATGGATAGAAAATGATAGAAATTTAATTAGTTGTAAAACTCTTAAAAACTACCTTACAAAACTCATGAATCTCTTATATATATATAAAGTATATGCACCTGGCATAATCTACATTTATATTCTTTATAGTTTCCCTACAGAGCATAATGCTCTCTCTAGCTTTCATTATATACATATATATCGCTCTCTCTTTCTAAGGTGTGCATATATATGTTGTCCATATAGGATAGGACTTTATTGGATTGCAGTTTCGACCTCGCTTCGCCGTCTCATCCTCACCCAAAACGGGATTCGAGGCCGAGTCGTTAGTATCCGTGCTACGCTACCATTGCCCTGCACACCTACGGGGGCCAGAGGGTCACCCGATAGATTTGACACTGTTGGGCTTAATTCCATTTCGGGTGAAAGTGTTGGGTGAAGAAATTCCAAGGCCGGTTCCACCAGAAGACGACGGTAGATTCCTCTTGACCAGCTCTCGATTGGCTTTACTGGAATATTTACGCCGACCCTGTTTCCGTGGCAATCTCCTTCGATTCCGGTGAAAAGCTGCTAAGCTTTTGTTCGTCATATGACGAGCATAATCATAGCAAGGCGAACACAAACAGGTCAAATATAGAGTATATATACCGCTTTTTATGGATTTGCCGGTGAGTTTTCTTTACTCGTTAGCTTGAATTTTGTTGTGACGATGATACCTTGCTCTGATGATGCTCGTCATATGACGGACGAA